TTTTTTTTTCTATTTTGCTTTGCAACCAAGTATGAGGTTTAGATCATAAAACTCAATAGTTTGAAGGTTATCTGAGTTGATCAGAGTGCATCCAGCACATAACTTTTCAAAGAGATTCTGACTATAATAATGAAACATTATTACATCCATGATTAAGAAAAGTTATAAAAATTATTATCATTTATTGTCATTTATGGAAGAATTGAAAGCAGTAATGCTTGTTTGGAGAAATGTAAACCAGGGCAAGTTGTGATAGTAATATTAGAAGGTTGACCTATAGCTGCTTAAAGTAATATATGAGTATATTGTCGCAGAAGCAGAATTAGGGCCAATGAATGCAAAATACGCAGGAGCAGATATCAATCACATAATAATTTTCCAACTATAAAATCTCTCTTTATAATTGGTGCAATAATAAGTCCCCAGAATACCCAGGTCTTGATTCCTAGAACCTGTGACTGTGTTATCTTATATGGCAAGTGGGACTGTGCAGAGGTCATTAAGATTAAAGACCTTCAGATGAGGAGATAATCCAACTGGATCCAAACTAATTATATGAATCCTTAAAAGCGAGAGCTTTCCTTCCTGGCTGTGAAGAAAGGAAGACGTGACTATGTAACAAGGGTCAGAGAGATGTGAGGTTGCTGCCTTTGAAGATGGAGGAAGGCAAACTTGAGCCGAGAACGTGGGCAGCTTTTAGACTAGAAGCTGGAAAAGCAAGGAAATGGATTCTCCCCGAGGGCCTCCAGAAGGAAACACAGCCCTGCTGATACATTATTGAACTTCTAATCTAAAAAGCTATAACAGAATAGATCTATATAGTTTAAGTCACCAATTGTGGTAATTTGTTATAGCAGCAACAAGACACTTGTACAGTCCCCAGCAAGGAAAAGACAGTCTTAAAGTAAGCCATGTATTTCCAGAGAGGGCCATCAAGAATGTGTTAGAGATGATGCTCAAAGTCATCTTATAATAAACAGGTGGGGATTTACAACAAGTTACCTCTAGACTTTGTTGAGTTCCATGATTCTACAAGTCAGGGTGATCTTTCTGGTTAAGAAATTCAGATAAGCAACCTCTTAGAGCATCTCGATCTCTGGGACACCAATCTGGAACCCACAACTCTGAATTCTATACATTGACCTTCTACAGATTTATACTGTGAAGATTTGTTTTCCCAATGTACTCTAACTTTGCAAGTTATTCTATCATTGAGTTACTTGACTTATCTTTTTAATGACTCATTTATCTAGAGGGTAAAATGAAATAGAAATAAAAGTGAAGGCCGTGCTCTTACCAAGAAGACAATGTTGGTGTTTTGATAAAGAGCTCGTGCCACACAGATCCTCTGCCTCTGGCCCCCACTCAGGTTGATGCCCTAGAGAAGAAAACACCCACAAATACCCATTTGTTCCATTAGTAAGTGATCTGTTGTTAAAAATTACCTTTAGAATATGTGTCTCTAAAAAAGACTTACATTAGTATTACTAGTAGCTTATTAATTAAACTGTGATAACAATGGTAAGAAAAAGTGAAAACCATCTATTGGTTAGTGCTCAAATAACATCAAGATGGCTTTTGACTGATTTGTTAATCCTCCTTTCACTTTGAAAGAGAGGTCTTCTGTGCAGAGTATTGTTAACCAAAATACTTGATGAATGCTATAAGCATTATAAGCAATACCAAGATTTTTTTCTAGTTTCCTGAACTATGCATATAGTTTACTTAGCATATATACCTCTTAAAATTGACATTAGAGATTATGTTAAATAGTACTACACAATACTATGCTTTCATAAGTCACTGGTTATAAACTTTTTAAAACTAGTATTAATTGAGCATTAGGATGAGTCAGGCTTGCGTACATGGCTTTACATGTCTCACTTCTTTTATTCATCGTAGCAATGCCAATATGTTGGTATTGTTTTCATTTGACACACGTGGAAAGTGAGGATCAACAAGGTTCATTCCTTTAACACTATACCATGAAGCCCAAAAGAATAGCCATTAAGAACAAAAGCCACAGAGTCAGCCTAATCCTGGCCACACCACTACTTCTGCCATTGGGCAAATTCGTGCATCTCCCTCAGCCTTGGTTTTCCCAGCCGTAATATGCAGATGACAACAAAAACTGTAACACAGATTCATTAGGAAAGGAGATGATGCATCCCCCAGTAGCTTCTGCCCAGTACTTGACACTTAGGAACATTAAAAAATTCGGTCATTATCATTATAACAATTGCAGGTATAAACATTTTCCAGCTTATTAGAGTTAGTATGACATCAATGTAAAACAGGTTTATTACAGAGAATAAAGAACACTTTAATAAGACTAAACAGATGTTGACAAATGTGGAAAAAGTTTTCAGAAGCAATCTCAGGTTTCAAACCCATTATGGCAAGGTCACGTAAGCAAAAATACATTTGGTCAATGCTGGAGGCTATGTTTTATTTTCCTTAAGCACTCCCAAGTGGCTAGGAGAATGTTAAATATATGGTGGTTACTCAATAAATACTTAAGTAAGTGTAGCATCAAAGGACGCCTGTCCTCATGTTTCTGGAACTTGTCACTGGGACAACACACAATTCCTATTTCTCAGATTTTATTATGTTCCATTAAAGAATAAAAATGACCAGAAGACTTTCCTAGACTTTGGTCCTTTGCTTAATTAAACTAAACATAGCTCACCCTCTCTCCAATTTCAGTTTGGTCTCCAAATGGTAATAAATCAATATCTGGCTGAAGAGAACAGGCATCTGTGACAGCTTTGTACCTTTGGGAGAAACAATCGGAATTTTTAGATCACTGTTAATACACCGCCCATAAACCAAGTACCAGGTTCAGTATCTTGGAAGCTTAAATAAAACATTTACTGAAGAACTTCTCATATACTAGCCTCTATACTAGATTTGGGGATACAAAGATAGATAGGGAGGAGTTCCTACCCTTAAAAAGCACGTGGATCCGAAGATGGATAAAGAAACAGATAAAAGTGAAACTTGTGAGGAGGTGCTATAGTGGCAGTGAGTCCCAATCACTCCTGGAATACAGAGGAAGAAAAGCTACGGAAGATGCAAGGCTACAAAAAGGTGCTTAAGGCGTACTCAAGGAGGTGAGTAGTACTTTTCTTTTCTTTTTTTTTTTTATTAAATGATAGCTGTATACATTAATGCAAACATGGGGTACAGTGTAGTGTTTTCATATACATTTTGAAATACTTTCATCAAGCTGGTTCACATAAATTTCATGTCATTTGCATAGTCATTGTGTCAAAACATTTACATTCTAGTTCTAGAAAAGTTCACTGTACCCTTGTTAGACAGATATATAGGTGATCTTTCCGGTCACCCTCCCACCACCCGGCCGCCCTTCTCCCCTCCCCTTTCCCACCCCCTCCCCATATTCTTGGGCTAGAATTAAGATGTATCTTTCATTTGAGAGGTATAAATTAGTTTCATAAAAGGGCTGTGTACATTGGATACTTTTTCTTCCATTCCTGTGATACTTTGCTAAGAAGAACATTTTCCAGTTCCATCCATGTAAACATGAAGGAGGTAACGTCTTCGTTTTTCTTTAGGGCTGCATAGTATTCCATGGTATACATATACCACAGTTTATTGATCCATTTGTGGATTGATGGGCACTTGGGCTTACTTTTCCAGAATAAAAGTATCAGAGCTTCAGAAGCTTTTGAAAAAGTTCATGATACATGGGAGGCAATGGCTAAAGTGTAGGAGTATGGACGGGGGAGTGTCCTTGCATACTATCCTGCACTCTTCAGGAAGGAGAAAGGAGGAAGTGAGGACTGACAGCACTCACAGCAGGGCAAGAGAGCACACGCGTGGGGACTGGAGGTGCTGGGTAAACCTCGGTGGCTCTGTATTCTTAATCGCTTAGTCCTAAAATATTCAAATCATTCTTGATTCTCCCCTCTTCTCTTTGTTCATATTTATCCACTCCTAATTTAGAATTTTTATTCTCCATTATCTCATTTTTTACATTTCTACCCTCACTCCCAAGGGCAGGCAGCAAACACTGCATTTCTGGACAATTATTCCAAGGAACTCTGAAATGTTTCCTTGACATGTATCTGTTTGTCAGCTTTTATTTCCGTATTAAATATAACACTTACTTTGTTATTCCCCTTTCTAAAGCTTGCCATGTGTGCCCAGATGCGCCTCATGACATGCAGTTGCCTTTTTGACCCTCCACTCTCTGGTCTCAGCCTTCTGAGTCTCTTTCTCTTTCTGTCTGCTCAGAACGCTCCAACAGAATTTTCCTCCCACACCATCTACTTTCCTCCCCCCCTCCTTTCTTACACCACTCCCCTTATCCAATTTTCCTTCACTTTCAAGACTCAGCTTAGGGTCCTAAGACCCACTGTGAGAGTGGCTTGAGGAAAAAGGGTCATACCTGCCCTATATGGCAGTGGTATTTAAAAGATGGCTGGGTGATGGCATAGTCTGGCTGCTCTGTCACTCAACTCCTCCGATCCCACATTCTTCTCTCCATAGTCAACCTTCCTTCTGCAATTCACTAGCATTTCTTTCCTTCTTTCCCTCCTCACCAATGACCTAAACAACACCTCCTATCCCATCCCCCCGACACAGGCATGCACGTATTTTAATTGCTGCTCTTCAGTCTTGGTGTACAAATTGGTCTCCTCAACTGTATAGGATGGGCTGAAACATCCAATGAGCTGTGTCTTCAGGGAATTGATTTCAAAGACCTTGGTGATGAGGAGATGAAGGTGGGGCAAGCAGGGATGAAAGGAAGTCCCAGATGTAAAGTTTCCAGAAAACATTGACCAAACACAAGGATCAGAAATAGTTGACATTTCAGGTCTAAATTTTCTAAACTCACAATTACCTCTGTTTGTTGAAAGGGCTTCCAAAGGTAATATTTTCTTCCACTGTGGCATTTAATAGCCAAGGCTTCTGAGCGGCATAAGCCACAGAATACCTGTTCCTACTGAGAAATTGAACAGAAAAATAAAATGCCAGGATTATTTTAGCATAACCAAGAAAACCAAAAACAAAAAACCTCTAAAGAGAAAATTTTAAGGATCACCAACCTTATTAAGAAATGATTAAATATGCCACCTAAATTAAAGGGATCAGAATTTAATCAAAGTGTCACATACTATGTAAAATTTAATTTTGCTATGCTGAAGAAGTATTTTAATGAATAAGGTACTAACTGAAAATTTCTTTTCTAAAATGACTATCATTTAAAAAATAATTAAAAGCTTAATAATTCATTCTCTCCAATAGTCACAGATATTTCACTTTATATGAAAAGCGCTTTATGTAACTATGAATTTTATATGCACACCTTAAAAAAAGATGTGATAATATCATTATAATATGTCTTTGTGGCTCAATCATATCAATATATTTTAAGGTAATATTTCAAAAAAAGAATATTTAGAGGAGTCCCTTTCCATATTGAAATTACACATTTTAAAGCTACCTATTTCAAAACATATAGAAATAATTTATTGAAAAAAATCGCCTTCCCCCTTCCACTTTTTTGGCTTGAAAATTCTACCAGATGAATACATATCTGACTTTAATTTGTCATAATTAGGAAAATGCATAAGAGCTGAAGATAAATCAGAAGATGGAATTGGAATGGTAAAGGGGTAGGTCAGACTCCCACAGTTAGTTCATGATCTGTAAGTACTAATTAAGGAATTAAGGTTAAATGAGAGTAAGGTTAAGAAAAAGAGTAGTTAGAGATGTGCAATGGTCTTCCTGAAACTCTACGTCTTGGGAGCATATTACGCTCGCAGTCTCTTAGATAATCACATTTTGTGCAGTGGAACAGCGGTTCCCAACCTCTGACACGTCTGCCTCCCGTCCCTCTGCTGTTTAAGGGCTTGTTTTTCTTTTCCATAGATAAAGCAGTTTCCTCTCCATCTCCACTTCCTAGTCTCCACCAGTGCCTAGCTCACAGCCCATATATATACATTAATTCTTACATTTTTAAAAATGAAATCCCAAACCCAGTTTACTGAAGACAGTTTGAGTTTCAGCCCAAGTTGAGACCTGTGAGACTCACTGAGAGGTTACCAGTGGACACAGTGAGACATTGTGTTTGGCATGTTAATTCTTTCAGCAGCCTGCAAAGGTTGAGAACCACTGCTGTTGGAAATATACTAGCACACATTGATAAATAACTATTATCATCAGAATGAACAAAATGACCAGGAGTAGGAGATTAAAGTCTGAGGAAGGAAGTTATTCTTATTAAACTTAGGTTAAAATAGAAATAATACCTTCTGGTTGCGTCAAAAGAAGGCTCAGATTCATTTACACTGCAAGTATGGCAAATAATGTTCATTAATTATGAAGAACACATACAGAATGAATGAGCGTATATATCAGGTAAGGGATAAAACAAATATTGGACATATTAAAGAGCTACATTTCCCAAGAGGTTTTTAATATTAATTTCAAAGACAAAATAGATAAATAAAACTTTTCTTTTATGTCTTCATCAGCTAGGAAATAATTACCTAGTTAGATTCCCACAGATAGAACAATTATCTTTCATATGCAGATTTGGTTCATACAATGATTTGGGTTCTAGTCTCAACTTTGTTCCAATTAACTGTAAACTTGGGTAATGTCTCTAGAATACAGCTTCCAAGTCTCACCTATCTTTAAACTTTGAATTTAATTTATTTAAAGTTGTAATTAACTACCCTAAAGCATGGACAGAAGAAATACTTTGGGGGCTCTAAACATGAATGGTGTGTAAAACATGGCTGGTCCTTCAAGACCTTTTAAGAAAGAGAGATGTGAACAAGATGTCAAACTATGACATGGGTGTATAATTAATTACTGATTGATATGATTTATATAAAAGGCTAAGATGTGAATGATCACATTTAGGTATTCCTATATTATGTGGGAAAATACTTGAAGACTTTTTCCTTGTTGTATTGTTCTAATTTTTAATACTTAAGGTCAGTTCAATCCCATTATTCTGAAAGACCTAAGTTCAATAACTACATGCATAATAAAAAGCCTACAGGAACTCCAAAAATCAATCCTTTTTGACTTTGGAAAGCATCATATGTTTGGGTGGAGATAATTTACTTAATTATGTTATTTAGTGATATTTCTTCAGAGTTACTAATGGTGGTTTTCACTATTGCACACTGCTAATGACATCTTGGGATGGCGAATAGAGCTAAGAACAAAAACAATCTCTGCCTAAACATTTCCTCTCAGTAATGATCATTCACTGGCTAAAGTTACTCATAAAAAAGAACACTCATCTTACACATGATATTTTCCACATAATATGGCTTCAATACAAAGAGATTTGGACTTTTTAAAAAAATGGTAATAAAACAATAGAGGACTTCAATGGTTTTAACTAGTCTGAGGAAGAGAGGAGGAAGGTGGCTGAAAGTAGTATGATATAATAATGAGCCTCCCGGCCATCCAGGTGGAAATGCCTGTGAGATAATTTAAAATGTCAGCCCAAGCTGGAGATATGGATTAAGAAGCCATCAATTTTTTTCAATAGTAATTGATTAAATTCCAACTCTGTTGATTCAGTATCAATTCAAAAATATGTATTGATTACCCCTTAGTGCCAAGAATACTCGATCCATTCCTTCTTTCATGCTGTTTTCACTTTTGTGGGAGCATGACAAGTGAGCAAATGCTAAAATATGTAGGGTGAAGGGAACTATTAGGGTACAGATAAAGAATCAAGAACCAAGACCACAGAACCAAGCCACCTTTCACAAATCAGAGTAAACAATGGAGTTTATGCCAGAAGGATAATTAAGAGGAAGCTCAACAGATAAAGAAAAGGCCAAGAGTACTTCAGACCCAGAGGAAATACAGTATTGGATGGCCGTGGGATTTCCTGGTCATACAAGGAACTGATGTAAACTTAGCAGAGTGAAAAAATAAGGGTAAAGGGCAATGAACTTCATAAAGCCAGCACAGACAGATAATGAAAGAGCTCATAAATCATTTTACTGAGCTGGGACTTTTCCTCAGAATAACAGAAAAGTACTGAAAAGGTTTAATGAAAGAGAGAGAGAGGTTTAGTTTAGAAATATCACTCTGATTGCAGAATGTAACAGATGAATCAGAGGCATAAGGATGGATGTGATATAGAGCCCACAGAGGCCATCAGAGTCATGGAGATCAGAGGGCAGTGCTGTGTGAGTTAGGAGTGATGGTGAATGAAGAGAAGACACAAAGATACCTCAGATCTTGCGACTGAGTAGATAATAAGTGAGAAAGGAGAGGAAGGTGTCAGGGACAGGAAGCACATGTGATGGCGGTAGATGGTGAATTAAACAGCAGATGCATTCAGTTTAAGCTGCCTAAGGAATATCCCAATGACCATGGACAGGAAGCAGAATTTAAAGCTCGGGAGAGATCTGGGACACAAATGAAGACTTTAGAGAGTGATTTTCCATCACAATATAGTCCTTAGATACTAAGAACTTCAGGTTCCATCCTTTATTACTGAAAAGCCAATAAATGGCTTCTGCAGTTCTAGCTTATTTCATAGGACAATGGAGCAGGAACAAAAAGAGAAAAGTGAATGAAGTCATGGAAGTATATGATTGCCCAGAGAGGATGCACAAACACAGAAAGGAGGAGGACCATGACAGAGCCCGGCAAAAGTCGCTATGAAACAAATGGCTAAGGCAGAGGAATCTAAAGGAGGAACCAAGAACAGTAACGGGCAAAAGTTGTAAGAGCTAAACTGGCCTGTGAGTTTTACTGGAAACTAAGCAAGGACACTTTATGACGATGAAAGGTACAATGATAATGTCAAGTGGTCAGGGGATCCAGGAAGATAATGACCAAACAGGCCCAGTGGATTTAACAACGAGGATTCCACTGATGGATTTGAAAAGAACAGTTTCAGTGAAGTGGGGGGTAGGCACCAGATTACAGTGGACTGAGGTAAGAACAGAAAGGAACAAGTTGGAGACAATAAGTGAAAACATTGTTTTGTTTCTCAACAAAGGGAAAAGGACAGAATAGGAGTTGCTAGGGGCTGAGGGCTGAGAAAAGGAAAGGCAAAGAAAAGAGAGAAGAAGAGAGAAAGAAAGAAGGAAGGAAGGAAGGAAGAGAGGGAGGAAGGAAGGAAGGGAGAGACTTATTCATCTACAAATAAAAATAGCAAAAATCTAGAAGCTGGACAAATGTGAAGTATATAAAGAAAGATCACATGCTTTGGCTTTTTGGTCTGACAGGTTAGTAAGGATTGGAACAAGTTACAGAGGCACCAGCAGACATGGTATATCCAAGTCTTGGGATCAATAAGATCAGGCTTTGCCAAGAAGCTAACATCTGAATTGACACTAGAAGAGTGAGGCCACCAATCTGGGGGGTTCACTACAAAAGCAGCATTTGAGAACCACCAAAAGTTCAGTGTCACTGGAACATATGTTAAGGGTGGGCAGAATGGTGGAATATAACTTTTAAAAGTTAGACATGGACCGGTTAAGACCTCGGATGTGGCATGCAAAGATCTTTGGAATATATATATATATATATATATATGTACGCTTTTCTTAGTCAATTAAAAAAAATTATAAGCAAGAGGGAAGTAGATAGATTTTCATGTCAGAAAGGCCTATCTGGCAACAATGTGCATGTAAGAAAAATATTGGAGATAGTAGAGTGAAAAGTCCACATAAATGACAAATTTTGAACAAGGAAAGTTAAAATAGACATTTAAATGTAAGGACAGGCACAAGAAAATTAAAAGAATGGATACACCAATTGGTTAAATTTTGAGGGCAATAGGGAAGGAAGGGTCTAGGTCAAATCTCTGGGCCCTGATTTGGGCTCTCATCAAGCAGCTTCAGGGGTTGGGGATGAACCTCTACCAAGACACAGAAAGGGAATCAGGCTTAGGAATTGTCAGTATAGGGGTTCAACCTGGATGTGCTGAATGTGCAGCTTCTAAAAGACTTTCTGGAAAAGGTATTAGGTCTTCAGAAGAAAAGTCTTGGCAAAAAATGTGTATCAGAATGCCATTAGTAGAGAAGCTGAAGTCAAAGATAGAATCTGAGGAATAAATAAAGGGGGGGAGGGAGGGAAACCTTTACTTCTTCTCAGTATACAGAGAGCCAGAAGGACTGAAGAAGAGTTAGAATATTCTTCCCCATCTCTTCTCTCCACTGCTATTGTAGCTCCTGTCTTTTGGGATTACTAATTTTTGCTTTTCCTTAAAATGCAAGTTCATGTATCATTTATGTATTCACCCCTTCAGGGAAGCCTTTGTTGACCCACAGACCCAACTCAGTCAGGTTGCTTATTATTTGTTTTTATAAAATCCTGTACTTCTCCTTTCTGATATTTATAAAAATTTCATCAAATAATTAATCATCAAATTGTTCTATTAATTCCTTGTAGTTCTTCCTCAAAACAGTAAGATTCTTGAAAATAGAGACCTGGTTTTGTTTGTTCATTTATTTATCCCCCAGTGACTCATCAATGATTTACATATAATAGGTGTGAAATAAATATTTTTAATGCATGCCTAAATGAAAATGTGGTAGAAGCCAATAAACAAGTTACTCTTAGGAAGTCATCCGTGATGAACAGTTTCAAAAGCTATTGGAAAATTAAATAGGACTGAGAATAAATTATTGGGATTTAGCACTGAGTCCACAATTATGTGAAAATAACCTGTTCCATGACTCCACTCATCTTCTACCATTCAGTGTGGGTGTCAATAGCACTGAAGACAATAAGAGAGAACAAAGATGTCAAAGAAAAGATGGAAAATCCTCTTCTGGAAAATAGAATAACATTTTACTTCTGAAGGTCTCTCCATACAGGACTTGTATATATTTTCCTTCAACAGTAAAAGGTACAGTTGATACAGTACACTAGCAACTTCCAAGTATTATGGTTGACACATTATGAAGTGGTAGAGTGACTTTTGCAAGCTTAAATCAGGAATGGTATCTAGAAAAAGGAAAGTCAATCTGTTGGCACAAATGTGCTGTACACATCTGATGTTGGAAAATTGGCTCAATGTGTTATTATTCCTTCAGGCCAGGCCAAGTCACATGAAAAAGAATAACTACTTAATTCATCTGTCTTAAACTAACTGAAACAAGTTGGCCATGGTGGCCCACGCCTGTAATCCCAGCACCGAGGTGGGTGGCCCAGGCGGGTGAATTGCCTGAGTTCACAGGTTTGAGACCAGCCTGAGCCAGAACGAGACTCCATCTCTAAAAATAGCCAGACATTGTGGTGAGCACCTGTGGTCCCAGCTGCTTGGGAGGCTGAGGCAAGAGAATTGCTTGTTCCCAAGGGTTGGTGGTTGCTGTGAGCTATGACACCATGGCATTCTATCGAGGGCAACAAAGTGAGACTCTGTCTCAAAAACACTTTCATAAAGCTGTTTGCACCAAGTTGGTAGAAGATGGAACATCAAGACACATGGGGACTGAAGAGTAGGATGGTTGATGGCATGAGTGAGAGAAAAAAAAGAAAGGAAAGGAAGCCAAAGATAAATGATGGCTATTCCTCACATCATTACCCCCATTATTACACATTCTGGACTCTGTCACTGAAACCATGATCCAACAAAGAATTTTAGTTCTATCCCCTAAGATTTTAGTAGAAGTCACTGTTTGTCATGACAATCAGGAAAGGATAATTTCAAATCAGCAGAACTTTTGCTTTTAAACACATATGAAGCATAACTAGATGAAAAATTGATGTGCAACTTAGCTTTATGAAGATTTTGGGCTTTTTTTTGTTCCTCCTTCCTCTCACTTTTTTCTTCTGATGCTACCCTATGTCAGACTAAATCAAATGTATCAATTCATAAAGAAGTGTCTGTCAGACACATGTGCCCATGGGTAGCAGTGCCTTGTCTCCTGCCCAAAGTAAATATTTCTTGCTGCAACAGGTCAGAGTACTTTATTGGCTTTTTCTCATGCCCATGTATTAGGAAACATTTAAAAATAAAATTTATGCAACCAGAGACACATGAGATGATGAAAGAATGACAACAAGGCACTTGGTGTCTTACCATCACATTTAGTTTATTGTTTTGCTTTATTTGTTTTGATCTTTAAAAAATATCAAACAATTTAGTCTGCTGAAGTGAAGGACTTCTAAGCCCTTGCATATCAGTGACCTGTCAATATCAATAATTTCTAATTTAGCTTTGTTCTAATTAATTGTCGTATGCCTTTCTTTATTGGGCTGGGCTCATAGTTTTTTATTCTGGAATGAAAAGAGTAATAGGACAATGACAACAAACACTTTTCAAAAAGGTCAGTATCACTGAAATATTTCTGATCCTAAAATATTGCATTTCAAATACTAAGGACACCATAGAAGAAAATTAAGTAGTTCTTACAAGGCCACAGTAATCAAAGCAGCATGGTATTGGCACAAAAATAGAGACATAGACATCTGGAACTGAATAGGAAACCATGAGATGAAATCAGTCTCTACTTGTCATCTGATCTTTGATAAACCTAACAAAAGCATACAGTCGGGAAAAGAATCCCTATTCAACAAATGGTGCTGGGAGAACTGGATAACCACATGTAAAAGACTGAAACTCAACCCACACATTTCACCCTTTACAAAAATTAACTCAAGATGAATAAGAGACTTAAATCTAAGATGTGAAACAATAAACATCTTAGAAGAACGTGTGGGGAAAAATCTTGATGATGTTGGACTGGGGAAAGATTGCATGACAAAGACTTCAGTGGCCATCACAACAACAATGAAAATTAACATGGGGATCTATTGCTCTAGATTTTTCTGTTAGAAGATTATCAGATATGTGACACAGTAACAGAAACAATTAAAAATACACATACTTGCTCCAGTGAACTTTTCCTTCCAGTGTCTGCATCTCACCAAGGATGGCAAGGAGAAGAGAAGACTTTCCACACCCTACTTGGCCCACAATCATGGTCAACTGACCTAGAGAAATGAAACAAAAGATCACAAATTCTCTTAGTAAGATATAACCAAACCTCATTTAGAAATGAGTACTATTTCATAATCTATGGATCAGATTTTGTCTCCAGCTAAAAGGTATTCTAAACAGCTCCTTTCCCTAAAACGTATATCTTTCAGAAAAAGGAAATAAAAATTAAAATAGATCTTTATTTATTATCTTTAAAACTATGAGAATAGCTGACTAACATCTAGATAGTTTTAAATTATTATTCAGTTCATTCAGGAGCAAATGTCAGTTTTGACTAAAATGGATAATTGGAGTGAAAGTGATTTGGGTGAAGTATTAAGACAGGCTTGCCATTTTTTCACTTTGACTTGCATGTACAATAGAAAAAATCCCAATTTACTATCAAACCAGGTCAAAAAATTTTTCTATTCAATTATTCAGATATTTGAAACAAAAGTTATTGGTTTTATTCCCAAATATTTTATTCATCTTGATGTATTAATGTTACTTTTTCATAATTTCCTTCTGGGATTGTTTGTCATTATATGAATATTTAGGAATGAACTTAACCAAAGAGGTAGAAGACTTGCACACTGAGACTACAGGACATTGTGAAAGAAAGTAAAGCAGGCACAAATATATGGAAAGACTGAAAGAATTAATGTTTACAAACTAGAAGAATTAATATTTAAACTAAATTAAATAATTTAATTTTAATATGCAATTAAAAATGTCCATACTACCTAAAGTAATCTACAGATTCAGTGTAACCCTGATCAGAATTCCAATGGCATTTTTCTATAGAAATAAAATAAAAACCCTAAAATTCATATGGAACCACAATAGACTCTAAATAACCAAAGTAATCTTGAGACTGAACAACAAAGCTATAGGCATCACACTTCTTGATTTCAAAATAGATTACAAAGCTATAGTAATTAAAACAGTATGGTATCAGTAGAAAATAACCATGTACACTGATGGGACAGAAGAGAGAGCCCAGAAATAAAGCCAGGCATATACAGTTCACTGATCTCCAATAAGAATGTCAAGATCACATGATGGGTAAAACACAATTTCTTCAACAAACAGTGTTGGAAAAACTGGATATTCACATACAAAAGAATAAAATTGGACTCATACATTACAACATACACAAAAATTAGTAAAAATATATTGAAGTTACCCATTTAGCATATGTCAGACCTGGAACTGTAAAAATCCTTGAAGAAAACGTAGGAGTAAAACTTCTTGAAATTGATCCTGGAAATTGTTCCCTTGATTTTTCAGAAAAGTACAGTCAACAAAATAAAAAATAGACAAGTAGAAGTATGTCAAAATAGAATTTGTGCAGGCAACAATAAACAGAGTAAAAAGAAATGGGAGAAAATATTTTCAAGCCATCTATTTAATAAGAGGTTAATATCCAAAATATAAAAGAATCTCCTACCGCTCAATGGCAAAAAACCAAATAATTCAACTTAAAAGTGGACAAAGAACTTGAATAGATATTTCTTTAGAAGAAAGAATGGCCATCAGATTCATAAAAAGATGTTCAACATCACTAGTCATTAAAGAAATGTAGGTCAAAGCCATAATGAGATGTCACTTTTCACCTGCTAGGATGGCTATCATTAAAAAAATAATAAAAAAGATTGCCAGTGTCGGCAAGAAAGTGGAGAAATTGAACCCTTGCATATTGTTGCTGGGAATGAAGAACAGAGAAGCCACCATGGAAAATAGTAAGAGGCACCTCAAAAAATTAAAAATAGAACCACCATATGATCCAATCCCACTTCTGAGTATTTATACAAAAGAATTAAAGTCAGGTTCTCAAAGAGATATCTGCACCCTGATGTTCACTGTAGCGTTACTCACAATTCCAAGATATGGAAACCAATGCAAATGTCCATCGACAGATGAATGAATAAAGACAATGTGGTATATACATGAAAGAGGGTGTTATTAAGCTTAAAAAGAAGGGAATCCTTCCATTTGCAATAACATGGATGAACCTAGAGGAATTTGCTAAGTGAAATAAGCTAATCAGAGAAAAACAAATACTATATGATTCCACTGATAAGAGATATCTAACATAGTCAAACTCATAGAAGCATTAATCATCCTAGAAATCCAAATAGAATCCACAAAGAGAGATCATCTTACCCTAGTTAGAAAGACAAAAAAAAAAAAACAGATGTTGGCAATGTTGCAGAGAAAAGGGAACTCATTCCCATTGGTGGGAATGCAAATACTAGGTATTTATTCAAAGGAAGAGAAATCAGTATATCAAAGGGACACTTACACTTACATGTTTATTGCAGCACTACTCACGAAAATAAAGATATGGAATCAAACTAAGTAAACATCAACAGATGAATGGATAAAGAAAATATGGCATTTATGCACAATGGAATACTATTTAACCATTAAAAAAATTAAATCATATCATTTGCAGCAGGTCATTATGTTTAGTGAAATAAGCCAAAGACAAATATCACATGCTCTCACTTTCATGTCACAACTAAAAAGTTGATCTCATAGAATTAGAAAATAGGGGGGTGGCACTCGTGGCTTAGTGGGTAGGGCTCTGGCCCCATATACCAAGGGTGAAGGGTTCAAACTCAGCCCTGGCCAAACTGCAATAACAACAGAAAAAATAGCTGGGCATTGTGGTGGGTGCCTATAGTCCCAGCTACTTGGGAGGCTGAGGCAAGAGAATTGCCTAAGCCCAGGAACTGGAGGTTGCTGTGAGCTGTGACACCATGGCACTCTACCGAAGGCAGGCGATAAAGTGAGACTCTGTCTCAAAAAAAAAAGAGAAAGAATTAGAGAGTAGGATAATAGATACCAGAGGCTGGGAAAGGTGGGAGGGGGTAATGAAAGGCATGTCAATGAGTACCAGCAGATAGTCAGATAGAAGGTATAAGTTCTAATATTGGATAATAGAGTAGGGTGACTATAGTTAACAAGAGTGTAGTGGATATTTCAGAGTAGCTAGAATAGAGAATTTGAAATAGTCTCAACTCAGAAATTATAGGTGATGGATACCCCAACACCCTGACTTAATCATGGCCCATTACTCATATATGGGTCCATAAATGTGTACAAATATTACATATCCATGAACAAATTTAAAATTTTCCTTAAGCAATATGAGAAATCAACTACCCTATTATTTAAATGACACAAATCACTACCCAGAAAAACAAAAATCATTTTCCTACAAAGACATTTACACCAGAATGTTTACTGCAGCTCAATCTGTAATTGCCAACATGTGGAAGCAACACAAATGCCCATCAACCCATGAATGGATCAACAAACTGTGGTGTACGTATACCATGGACTACTATTCAGCCATTAAAAAGATGGAGACTTTACATCTTTTATGTTTGCCTGAATGGAGTTGAAACACATTCTTCTTAGTAAAGTATCACAAGAATGGAAAAATAAATATCCAATGTATTCAAAACTAGTGTGAACCAACACATCAACAATTACATGCTCACATGAACAATAAAATACAAAGAAAGTCTAGTACTGGGGCAGGGGAGGAGGATGATTGACAGAAGGAGAGAGGACAAAGGGATCTCACCTAATGGACACAATGCCTGGGTGGATACCACGCCCCCTGGGTGAGGGTTCTTACACCACTGGAACTTTACCTTGGAAGTGAGAACAGTGTAACCTAAAAATTTGTACCCTCTTATTAATTTGAAATAAAAAAAATAACATAAATGCTGAGGGTAACTCACAAAATAAATAAATAACACAAATCAGCAAATGAGCAGTAGGTAACTTCTCCAAAGGCCCTCACTCTGTAGGGCAAGGCAGGTCTCCTAATTCCCAGTCATTCCCACAATCAGAGGGGCTCAGGAGCAACATGGTACAAATCAGTATCCTTAAATAACATTCGTGCCATTAAAAGGTCTTTCTCTTTTTGTTGGATGACTGTCTTGTTGGAAAACCATGGCTGTTACAGTTAACCATGGCAAAAATGTATAACAAATGATTCTTACCTGTTGGAATTCGAATATCTATATTGGATAATGTAGCCAAACCACTGCCCCATGAAAAGTATCCATTTGTGACCTAGAGAAGGAGAACACAGAACTTAGATTATATGTGTGATATTAAAGAATAATTCTAATTAAAATAATTTTTGTGTATAAAGTACTAAAATTCTTTTAACACAAGGTAGCTGTTTGACCTTGGAAAATCAGTTAATATACTATAAATAAATCTAAGCATAGGTTCATGAAGGTAGGTACAATGATGGTGATGATAACAGGGCTTGTGATAGACAAGCTCAGTGTCTCACTGGGGTATAAGTAAAAGGCAGTGATGTGTACAGCAGAAGACTGTGGTCCAGGTAGAAGGTACCATCTACCATAACATTTAAATACATATGCTTATGACAACACTACATATTTTACAAGGATATGAGCATACTTAAGAAAGCATATTAGAGCTAATACCCTAATGACCAGGGTAGGAAATGGGGTGGGGTGGATAAGAATGGTGGTCGGAGATGCCATGGAAAGAAATAATGAAAATTTAAAGGCAGGATCTAGATAGACACACAAAGAATTCACCTTTGTCTGATTACATTTATCTGGAATGTGCAGAATAAGCAAATCCATAGAGATGGAATCCAGACTGGCTGTTGCCAGGGGCAGAAGGTGTAGGAAACAGAGAGCACTGCTTAATGGGTTTCAGGTTGCCTTCCAAGGTGCTAAAAATGCTGTAGAACTAAGTCGAGGTGCTGGTACAATATGTAAAAATGCCACTGAAATGTTTACATTAAAATGGTTAATTCTATGCTATGCCAATTGCACCTAAATGAAAACAAATTTTTAAAAAATTCTTTTAAAAAGTATTATTAAATTCTTGAGGGTCTGTGCAGGCCCTTACACAGATCATTGTCCATTTCCTCCTGCGGAAAATAAGTAAAAATGCAGAACGAAATATATAAGAAAATTTCATTAAAGCAATAAATTAGGAAATACTAAGTCAAAATATAGGGGAAAATGTAAAATTAAGGATGTACACCCCAGAGCACCTAAGCCTTTTTCTCCCAAAGGACCAAGTAGAGCTAAGAAGAAAAACAGCAAGGTGTGAGGACTTGCTCTACAAAATATCAGTATTTCTTAGAAAGCTCTAATCATCGTGACAGTAGAACATTAGACAGACAAGTAAAATGAAAGAAAAATAAGAGCCCCCAAGAGATCCACACACGAATAGGTCCTTGACGTAGAACTGACAACACACCAAAGATCTTAAAGAATTAGATCATGCCTTACTGATGTACGACTAAATGCAGTAAAATGCTACACTCAATTTTCTACTAAATTTATGACAATTTACTAATAAATCATTTATGTCTGGTTTACTTACTAAATCACATCTCTAAACACACTCAAAAAATGGACTATAAGTGTATTAAGAAACTAAAAGTAAAAACTGTCCCTTTAAACCTTTTAGAAGCTACGTAGAATCTTTCTGACCTTTAGGTAGGAAAAGTTTTCTTAGATAAAATGACAAGAACAAATCCCCAAACATTAACTATTAAGGAAAAGTTATATAAACTGGACAGACTATAGCAAAATTAAGAACTTCTGTTCACTAAAAGATCCATAGTAACATTGTGTGAAAGGCCAAGCCACAGCCTGGGAGAAGAATTTTCAACACATATAACTGTCAAAGAAGAAGCACCCAGAATTTATTAAAAGGGAAAGGACAAATAACCAAGCACTTCACAAAAAAAGCAAATCTAAACCCAAGGGCCAAAATAGATACATATAGGACCCATTAGTAATCAGAAAAATGCAAATAAAAACCACAGCAAGATACAACGGCATCTCCTCCCACCACACACTATTTGACAAAAAAAAAAAAAAAAAAGACCTTGGGAAAGATGTGGGGCAACCAGACCTCTCAATCAGTATTGCTGGAGTGTAAGGTGGCTCAGTCACTTTGGAAAACAACATCTAGGAAAATTAGAAGGATGCACATGCCCTAAAGCTCAGCCATAGCTCCAAACTGAAAAACACCCAATTGTCCAACGCAAATATCAATAGAACAAACAGACAAATTCTGATATATTTATACAATATAATACTATTTGGCAACAAGAATGAATGAATTACAACTACACATTGCAAGATGAACAAATTGTACCTTCCTAATGTTGAGCAAAAGAGGAGACACAGACACATTTAACCTAAAAGAAGAAGAAGAAAGAAACCCTCAAACTATGTTCGGAGGGAGGCACACATAGCCAGGATAATCAAGGAAATGACCTCCGGGAAAGTTAAGGTGGTAACCGTATCTCAGGGGAGAGAGATGAAAGAAAGTAGCCAATGTTAAGGATTTTCTGAGGGAACTGGCCATATACGCACCTAAAGATATTTCAAGATGGTAAATGAGTGCTTAGCAATTTGAGAGTTCTTATCATAAACACAAAATTAATTTGGGCTTGAAGGTGAGCCAGAAACCATAGTGTATAGTGACCATTTACAGGCACCACAAACTCAAGGCCATTAACTAGCAGCTCTTTTGCGCATGCGCGCGCGTGTATGCGCGCATAAAAGATCAATTCGGCCAAAAATAAATACATAAAGTAGCCTTTTTCTTTTACCCTAAAAATGAAAACAAATTTAATAAGATACATGGAAAAGACATATTTTTAGAATCCTACTATATTGAACAGGAAATGACTATTGAAAAAATTGATGTCCTTTTTTTAGCTATTATTTGGGCCCATTTGGGAAGCCAAGGGCATTGAGGATCCTTTCTAATCTCTCCTGTTCCTTACCTTTCACAGCTTCTAGTTACAACCCTGCCTGCACATTATAATTGCCTGAGGAACTACCAGCACCATTGTTTAAAATGATGCCCAGGTCTTTGATATATCTACACACACACACAGGGTGTCAAAATAACGTTCGCATATTCTTAAGAGAGGAAAAAGTTGTAATACTCAAGTCACGTTTGACTTCTGCAATGACAAGAGGTGTTCAAATGTGACTTGTATTCATCTTTTGTTATTGGTATACGAGTATATACTGAGTATTACACTTTTAATACAGTTTCGAGTTTCTTAAAATGTGTGTATGTGTACATTGTTTTGGCACCTTCTGTATAAAACTTCCTGGGCAAGGTTAAAAATCATTAGATCTCTTTTAAAATTCACAGTGACATATCCTTTAGTTCTTAGAAGAACTATGCCAAAATGGCATGTCCATCTCAAGATAAGCAAACTGGAATTCAGAAAGACATAGTAATTTGCCCAAATATCACACATCAAATTAACGACAGAGGTAAGGCTAACACCAGTTTATTTCATCCAATAACAAACTGTGAAGTGCGGTACTGAAGCGTCGTGTGGGAAGCTTATTATGTCAGGTGCCAAGCAGAGAGAGAAGATTTAAAGGTAGCTCTGGCCTATTGAGTTTCTCCATTCCTGTGAGGTTTTGCTTAGAAGAACAGCACACCATTTGGGTGGGGGGCATGTTTATAAACTTGACTCATTTCGTGCAAAAAATAAATGCAAGCAAAACGTGTACCCCCTAATATTCTGAAATTTTAAAAAAGAAAAAAAAAGATTTAAAGGTAACTCTGGTCTTTCCTATGCGCCCCGTACGGAGCCTCCACCTCTCTGTGATTGGCCTGGGTCATGCAGAGGATTTCACTATCCCGCAGGAGCTAATGCAGCCAGTTTTCAAAAAGGGCTAGTTTCTAGGACTCTGGCGGCTCTGATGGCCAGAGACCCTGGACCACTGTAGGCATTTGTTCCGGTCCCTGTGTAACACCGACCACTCCCTGGGGCTTATCCCCGACTATCAGTCCCCAGCAGGTGTACCTGTGACTGCCTGTTCTTTAAGTACACAGGCCTGGGGACAGGACAAGAGGCCAGAGTTTGAACTGAGATTAAAAGCAGTATGTAGGAAGCTGGGTGGATGTGTACACTAGTCTAAGGCTCTCCTGGTTGGAAACAATTATTTGGAGTTCTCTATAAATAATTTACTTGGTTTACAAACCTAAGCGTACTAGAGGAAATACATTGGACATGAACTTCTAAGGCAGATTCACAAGTAAGGTTAATCCTTTAGTTGTCAAAACATACTGCTGGAGCAAGCACGGGGGTGGGAGGTGAAGAACTAATGACTGCTAGGAAGAGACTGGAAACACTTGATTTAGGATACTTTTGCAGAACTTGACCCAAAAGTAGGAACATAAATGTTTCTGTTCCTGTAAGGATCTGGGAAATAAAAGAACCTTTATTGCGATATCCTCTGTCTCCGCGGGACGCAGACGTCGCGTTGACGGCTCATAGCTGTCCAGGTGATATCTTCCAGGCTGCTTCCTGTTTATAGTTTTTGGCTGTTGCATCCAAACAGAAAAGGGCACAAGTTGAAGCTTTCTGAAAAGACTGAGGTTTTACTGAGCATTAACTCGCATTGCTACTTCCCCGCTTAAATTTTAAGAAAAAAGTAAAGGGAATTGCTTCTATATCTTAATTATTTTGACAGCTTCTCCCCTAGAAAAACCCAAAGAATAAAAAATTGTTAAGCTGCAATAATAACTCTAATTCATGCACCTCTTAAGAAAAATGAAAATATGAAGTATATGATGCTCGCAAAGTACCAAGTCACCAATTAGGTTTTGGACCATCTTTCTGTGGTGCTGGGGTGGCAATAAAATACCACGTGTTGCGTTGAAATGTGATCAGATTAACTCAGATCCAACCAGAATCCACTCATCAGGCTGTCAGGCTCATAGACATGTGAGCATTACATTTTTGATCATCCTCTGAATCAGAAGGATTTGGGATCTGATACACTCCCCTAAAATCAGATTGAGCTGCATATCATCCACAAATGCCTTATGGATTAACAACCACATAAAGATCTACAATTTTTTGCCCAAAGATGTACCATGTTTCATATGAAAATCCATAAGCTTTGTATAACGAACTAGTCCACATCACATATTCTGGTTCTGTTCCTAGTCGACAGACTAACACGGACGCCAGCTGAGATGTGACAGTCATCAAATATTTAAAGTGAACTTCGTTAGGTCATAATTAGAAATTGGTCATTCTCTATTTTTGAGTTTAATTTCACACAGAAATGAAGGGCTAAAGAGAAGGTAGAATCTTTAGCTCTGTAAACCTCTAATTTGGAAAAATTTTGAAGTTCAAAACTTCTCCAGAAACTTAGCAAGCAAACTTTCCCACCTAAGTAGTAACCTGTCTTACTTAAATACTGATACTTTATAGAGATCATGAAGAGCTAAATAGTGATATACCGTAACACTGTTCAGTTACCTAGAAAAGCAACAGATTTTAGAATTGTGAAACTTTTTTTTTTCTTTTGGCTCAGAATTGCAGGTTTATATTTTTGAAAAGTCCATTGGGTTCTACTATGGGAATTAGGAATGTCCTTGAATAATCAATAATTTAATCCAAACAAGATATTGCTTTTCCAATTTCCATCAACTGATGTATCAACAGGACATCATGCTATCAAATAATACATCGCTAGGCTACATGCAAATAAATACACAGATTAAAAAGCCACTGAGAAGGGTAAAAGTAAATAAAGTACCAGCAGTGCCGTGTCACATAGAAAATACTACATACATTTCAACAGAGAGAGAGAAGGCAAGCCGTGCGCGCATGTGCGTTCATGCAATTTTATTTTAGTTTTGTTTTTCCTTTCCATAGCCCTCATCGACAATCCTGGGAGTACATTGTATGAAACACAGAAAGCCACTATCCTTTAAGTGGAGTAGATTTTCCACACAAAACAAGCCATACCTATGTATAAATCAGTCTCCTAGAGTTGTTAGTTCTATAGTTGTCTTGCCCCCAGAGATCTAAAAGGAATGACTTCATGCCCTTCACTAAACTAAGCAGAGGGTGGGAAGAGGAGATGTGTTGACAGAGATTTGAGTTGGAGTTCCACAGATGTAATCTGAAGAGCCTTTGGCTCTAGCATGTCACTAATTCTCCATGGACATTCTACAGCCAAAACCACTTAACTCCAAGCTTTTACAGAATACATAGTATCTTAAGGGCGCTCAAGAAGGAGTTTCCATTAGTGTTATTTTCAAGCACACAGCTTTTTTTACTCCGTTTTAAAAAGTTTGTCATTTGTGGTTTGGCCCAACAGCAGTGATGAATGACCCTGAAAGACATCAGAAGTCCAGTCTGGTTTCAATAACCCTGAAGATATTGGATGCATTTGAAGGAGATTCTTTTTTCCCTTCCAAAAACCTTTTGTCAGTTTGGTTTTTCTTCTGTCCCTCATCTCATACAAACAAAAAAAAAAAGAAAAAATCTTTAAATTTCCCTAATTCCATGAACTTAACCTTCCCGTGTTTCTTTCCTGATGTCATCTCACTCAGCTGACTCCACCTCTGAAGGATGATCAGATGAGTTCTCTGGTTGTCTAAGATCATCCGTAGAGTGTGATGAGGCTGGTTCTAATCAAATATTTCACTTTCCTGCTGCCTAAAAGTATTGACATTCTCTGACGTATTTTTGTCTGTCTTTCTGTGTCCACACACTAGGATGGAAACATTTCAATAAATCAAGCATTCAACAGCAAACGACCGTTCTGAAGCATCTCTGCTTCAGTTATGTGTGGCATCCTTCTCAGACAACATCACACCTGCCCCTATAGAACAACTTAACTGAAAGTAACTCCAGAAAAGCAGAAAAACAGCAAGTCTATAAATAAAGCCAAAATGCTTAACTAGTTTTAGTGGTTTTAAATGTGATGTAAAAACAATTAATACAGACTGACTATCTAGTAAAGGCTTTCCAAGTTCTAATCAGTTCCAGTAAGAAGACAGCATATACATTTTTACTCGGTCACATGAATGATAAGCCTATTCATATTTTTTTCTTAGAGTGACAGAATAACTAATTTTAATTTATAACATGACTCATTTTAGAATAATACCTTTTTCCTTTACTCTTATGAAAAATATATGTATAAATTTTAAAGAATTTCTTTGAAATTTTTGAGACACAACCCTCAAGACAGTGGTTCGGTTCAGTTCCATGGATTTCAATGTTATCTAATGGCTAATCATTCTTTCATTGACCTCTCTAATGCTGATGTCTCTTAATGGATTAAGAA